ATAGTAAAGATGGTCAAAAACCTTGAAAACAAAATGGAGAAAATACAAGAATCAGTTAACAAAGGCCTAGAAGAATTAAAGAATAAATTTACAGAGACAAATGGCACAATTACTGAAATTATAAATATTCTAGAAGGAACCAATAGCAGAATATGTGAAGCAAAAGAATGGATCAGTGAGCTGGAAGATAAAGTGGTGGAAATAAATTCTGAAGATCAGAATACAGTAGAAAGAATGAAAACAATTGACGATAGTCACAAAGACCTCTGGGACAATCAAGCCCACCAACATTCCAGTTATAGGGGTCACAGAAGAAAAGAAAAAGAAAAGGTATGAGAAAATTTTGTTAATAATAGTGTTAACTAGATTTATAAAAATGAAAAAAACAATGGCCATTTCTCTAAGTGCTTTATTGACTATGCTAAAGCTTTTGACTGTGTGGATCACAATAAACTGTGTAAAATTCCTAAAGATTGAGAATACCAGACTACCTCAGCTATCTCCTGAGAAATCTGTATGCAGGTCAAGAAGCAACAGTTAGAACCAGACAGGGAACAATGGACTGGTTCCAAATTGGGAAAGAAGGACATCAAGGCTGTATATTGTCACCCTGCTTATTTAACTTATATGCAGAGCAAATCATGCAACATGCTGGGCTGGATGAAGCAAAAGCTGGAATCAAGATTGCCAGGAGAAATACCAATAACTTCAGATATGCAGATCTCTTGATGAAAGTGAAAGAGGAGAGAGGGAAAGCTGGCTTAAAACTCAACAATCAAAAAACTAAGATCATGGCATTTGGTCCCATCACTTCATGGCAAATAGAGGGGGAAACGATGGAAACAGTGACAGACTATTTTCTTGGGCTCCAAAATTACTGCAGATGGTGATTGCAGTCATAAAATTAAAAGATGTTTGCTCCTTGGAGGAAAAGCTATGACCAACCTTGACAGCATTTTAAAAAGCAGAGACATTACCTTGTCAGCAAAGCTCCATCTGGTAGCCTTGTATGGATGTGAGAATTGGACCTAAAGAAGGCTGAGTGTAGAAGAACTGATGCTTTAGAACTGTGGTGGTGGAGAAGACTCTTGAGAGTCTCTTGAAATGCAAGGAGATCCAACCAGTCAATCCTAAAGGAAATCAGTCCTGAATATTTATTGGGAGGACTGATGCTGAAGCTGAAAGCTCCAATACTTTGGTCACCTGATGCGAAGAACTAACTCACTGGAAAAGACCCAGATGCTGGTATTCAGGCAGGAGGAGAAGATTGAATGACATCACTTACTCAATGGACATGAGTTTGAGCAAACTCTGAGAGTTGATAATGGACAGGGAAGCCTGGTGTGCTGCAGTCCATAGGGTCACAAAGAATCTGACACAACTGAGCGACTGAACTGAACTAAGTGCTCAGATATTCACAGGATAATACTATACATGTAAACTTTCAATAACCTTACCCACTAAGTATCACTGGTTATTTTATTTTTTCATAGCATGGCTTATTCTATATAATAAATAGTTTATTTTACTAACAAAAGGAAATTGAGAGCATAACCCCAATAAAGATGAAGAAAAGTAAAAATAATTATCACTGTAACAAATATTCATAATATTCAATTTTGAAGGCCCATGAAATGTTGAGAAATAGTAGCATAAGTAAAGACACTTGACAATATAAATATGGAACAGAAATGAAGGATAGTATGTATTTTTCTACAAATTCTTGACTCTCCAAAATTCTTGATTCAGTAGCTGTGAGACTGATGGTCAGATATTAAAGTCATAGGTTAGGTTTCATTTACCTAAGGCAAACAGAGCGTCTATTCACATAAAGGTCAGAGATTGGGCAAACTTCAAATAGCAATGAGTTAGCTTTTTATTTTCATTACTTTTAATTATCATCATTATTATAAAATGCTTGATCTGTGACCTTATGCAGCTATAAATAGGTCTTCATCATTTCATTAGTGGGAAGTACTAATGAACCTTATTCACAACAAATAATAAAATAGCTTGATGTAAAACATAAGGATTTGATTTATACTTTCATTTATCAAGCACTCAATGGTGTTTATTTTGTTCCTAGTATTCCTAGTATTTAGAAATATGAACTCATTTTAATTCTCATAACTTTGTGAGACACCTCTCACATGTGTCACTATTTTACACTTGAGGAAACTGAGACACAGAGGTATTATCTTATGGAGATTCTACAACTACGAAGAGACAAAGCTCAGATTTAAATTCAGTTAGTCTCCTCCAGATGTATGTGTTTAACTCGGTGATCTGTTCACATAGGATCACATAACACACGAGAGATTCCCTCTAATTCTAAGGCATGAAGTTCCTTTTATGCTCTCACTGGACGCCAAACAGAATGCCTGAGCAAGATGGTAACACTGAAGTCATAGGCAAATCCTTTACTATGTGAGGCGGACATCACTTCTTCCAACACTCGAATGTGCTACAGTAGCAGTTTCATCGTAAATGGTCATAGAGAGAGTATTTTATATTAAAACACACCAGAATTTAAATTTTTGAAGTTTTGTAAAAGTTACAGTAACAAATCTCCTTCATATTCTGTAACTTTGTAAAAAAATAGTTGTGAATAAAACTGGAAAGTAAAACTGTGTTACCGGTTCTAACTACACAACTTAAACACACAACTTTCAGCCAGGAAACATTCACAGCCCTACACCACCGTGTGGAACTTATTTAGGAGTAAATATTCTTAGGTTGACATGTGGGAATAACTGCTATCTTTTAAAAATGTGACTATCTGTGCAAACATAGCAGTGCCTCACTCCACAAATGTTTGTCCACTCTGTCTCACCCCGGAGCCTTCCTGCGCCCTTGTGCGGCACTGTGTGGCCAGCAACTTCCTGGTGCCAGAATCCTTTCCTAAGAAACTCTCTTTTTGTTGTTGACATCAATAGCACAAATCCTAAAGAATTCAAAGAGCTCCTTTGCATCAGACCATGTGTATTCTTCGTCAGCTGTTAGGGGAAGACAGCTCACTGCAGTTGTCTTCTTTGCCTGCCACATACAGATGATGAACAGGGTCATCACGTCAGGAACCCCACACCCAGGAGCACTCCAGCCTCTGCTTCAGTCTCCTTGCCCTCTTTTAAGAGCCCAGTATCGACACCAGTTCTACCCTCATATCATGCCTATTTCAATTATTTAACAGGGCTGCAGAGACAGGGGAGAGAATGAGCATTGAATAGATGTCATTTCTCATCCCCACCTGGAGGCGGTGAAGGCACTGCAAGTGGCTCAGGGTGATTTTGTGGGAATGAGCTGGGGAAAAGCCACGCTCATGCTGCTGTCCTCCGCATTCAGCAGTACTTCAGACTGAGGGATTCTAAATCTGTGTTGGCATCCTCAGTGCTTCTTTCATGCTGCAAAGAATCGAGTTAAATATTGGCTAATTCACAATTCTAAATATTCTGACTAATAAAACATGGGTAGGTACATCTGCTCCTCCCATGTTCCTACACACTTCCATATCAAGAATTTTGTTCAACAACCTTTCTAATACAATGATCACAGAGTCACTAAATCAGCTGCACATTCATAATAATTTATAAAATCTACACCAGGAAGGAATTTTAACAATCTATCTGCCTAACTGAGCCCACAATTTACTGACCAGGGTTTGCCAACAATTACTATTTTCATTTAATAGTCAATAAAATGTGTTATTCAGTCTTATTTATTAATGAAATTATCCACAACACCTGTTTTAAACAAGAAAAATTAATGTGAATTATGACAATTTTAATTGAAAGCAAATAATAATATAGAAATTTCCTGGGTTTCATTATAGAAAATTATTTCAATACTATTAGTACACTCAGAGGAATTAACTCTAAGCACATGGGACTCTAGTATTCAATTTGGACTCAGGAGAGCCTTGTAAAGTGGAAAAATAGAAAAAGAGTGTCAAACTCACACCTCTTCAAAATGCACTTCCCTTGGCTAATACAGATCACTCTGGGTAAATGTGTGCATGTGTTCAGTTGCTCATTCGTGTCCAACTCTTTGCAACCCCACAGGCTGTAACCTACCAGGCTCCTCTGTCCGTGGGGTTTTCCAGGCATGATTACTGGAGTGGGTTGCCATTTCCTTCTCTAGGGGATCTTCCAGACCCAGGGATAGAACCAGCATCCCTTGTGTCTCCTGTATTGGCAAGTGAATTCTTTACCACTGCACCATGTTGGACATCTTATGTGCACAGGTTATTCATAAATTAGTGTTTGTGACAGCTTTACCTGGACCCCAGTTCTTTCCAAGCTCAGGAATTAGCTGCTACACAGGTAACAACACAGGAAACAATTGAAATTACACTTTGCAAATAATCATTTAGGACCCTGCCCTGTTGTAATTGATGTAACAACTAAACGAGAAAATGGTTTAAATAATTAAGAACATATATTGAATCACTTCATTGGAAAGTCATTTTGTTTTGAATAAGGGTTGGTTTCAAGGAAGGACTGACCCAGTGGCTCAACAAACATTATGCAAAATCTATGTTTTCTTTCTTTCCTTCTATACTGCCTATTTATAATCAGCTCCAGCTCCCATAGGACTTCCTGGTCCCCTACAAGCACCAACCTTTTTCCTTACAATATCCAGTTGCAGACCTCATGTCCTCACATAAACCATCCAGAAGGAGAGAGCTAGTCTATTCCAGAGGTTTCCAGGAACAGCAAGGCTTCTCTTCCCTAGCAGTTTATTAAAGGCTCTATGTGTGCTTTGGTTCTGATGGAGTTAAGTTTTCAGTTCTGAGGCATTTTCTGTGCTCAGGGGCTAGGAGAGGGTATTACAATATATTGATTTTTTTAAACCCATCAAGGCTGTCATGAGATGGGCAAGACTGGTTCTCTGAGCCCTGTTTCCAGAAGGCAGAATGGATGATATACAATGGAAACAAGAGATGTCCACTGAAGGTGAGTCCCATTCTGCCTGAGCCAAACGGGAAGCCTGACCTCAAGATTATGTTAAAGGTGTGTTCAGTTGCTCAGTTGCATCCCACTCTTTGCTACCCCAGGAGCTGTAGCCCACCAGGCTTCTCTGTCCATTCTTTTCAGGCAACAGTACTAGAGTAGGTTGCTATTTCCTTCTCCAGCGTGTATGTTAAAGGACTATTAGAAAATAAATAAATAAAAGACTCTTATTTTAAAAATGAGATCTTGCAAAGTTACTTTCTGTACATTTACCAGAAAAGATGACATTATTCTCTAGGGGACAAGCTTGAGATGTTAAGTGAGTTTCTCAAGGTTAAAAGGTATTAGTGAAGCTAGGACTACATTTCAGATACATTGTATCTCAGTCTAGTATCCTCCCTACCAAACCATTTTCAGCATTATTATTCATTTTTACCTAATTTTCTAAACTTTAATTAAATTAATTCTGGTTATATTCTATAAATTAGACCCATTTAATATTCTATCTAACCTATGAGTCATGGCCAACTAACTCTCAGAACAAGAAATGCAAACTCTGCCATTCAGAGGTCAGCAATTTTGAGAATTATATGAACTATTTTAAGTCTAGGGATTGTAATGTTGTGCCTTGAAAGAAAAATATATATTTATTACTAAATTCAGCAATATTAGAAAGAACAAAGGGACTGGCAGTTAAAAGGCCAATAATTTTGTCCCAATTTTGCCACTCCCTGGTGGCTTAGGGAGTAAACAATCATCCTGCAATGCAGGAGATACAGGTTCAAGCCCTAGGTCAGGAAGATCCCTTAGAGAAGGAAATGGCTACCCACTCCAATATCTTGCTTGGAGAATTTCATGGACAGAAGGGCCTGACAGGCTATTGTCCCATGGGATTGCAAAGAGTCAAACATGACTGAGCAACTAACACTCATTTTCACTTACCACTAACTACTCCTATGACATAATCAAGCTATTCATTCTTTGTGGGATTCAGCTGTGGAATTAACATGAATAAATTTTAAGGGAATTTCTGATTCTGGAACCCCTTGATTCACAAATTTTGGTTAGGCAATGGGAAAAGTTGGTGCCTTAATTGGAAAGAAACACACAGAACTTTGAAATTAGATTGACTAATATTAGATTCGGCTCTGGCCCGGAGACTGAATGTACTATTTAAATATTACAATTTTCTACTAAAGATAGAAATAATAAATCTATAATATAGCCACTATTTCAAAATGAAGAATATTTCAAAAGCCATGTTGTTTTATTTCTTAATTTGCTGAAGTTCGTGAAGGTATTGCCACATAAGAGATCAGCAGTTATCTGGGCTACTGTTGAAAAGGCAAATAGAATATATTAAAAAGGATATCACAGGAAAAAGGAAGGAAAAATCAAAATATAGAAATATCATAAAATTGTGAAAGAAGTGAAGGAAAATGCACATGTAAACAGAAGTTTATTTGTTTGTTTGTTTGTTTGTTTGTTTGGGGGAGGGAGGGGTTTATTTTCTCTCCCTGAAACCCTTTCTAAAGTGTGGTTGTCACGCATGGTCAGTTTGAGAGTGAGGAAAGGTTAGAAGCCAGAAGTTCCAGCCGTGTCTCCTCTGACACAGCTCTATCACCTGAGGGGTAAGGGAGTGTGCTAACAGGGCTGGGCAGCATGCAATGCAGCTGGCATTGACATTGGGCTTGGTTTCTGATTCATCTCTACATTTGAAATACAACGGATCTTAGGGACATTTGATTATAAATGAGTGTTCTAAGGAGTATGTGTGACAGGTTAACTAAACGCTGGAATTTGTACTATCCTTATACTTTGCTGTCATAGAGTATGAAATTCAATTACCCTTGAGATCTCAGAATTTGATTACCCTTGTTAAAGACAGATGTCTTATAGGCCCAGATCACTAATGTGAATTAATTGCAGCATAATAAGTGCTGCTGCTGCTGCTGCTAAGTCCCTTCAGTCGTTTCCGACTCTGTACGACCCCATAGGCAGCAACCCACCAGGCTCCCCTGTCCCTGGGGTTCTGCAGGCAAGAACCCTGGGGTGGGTTGCCATTTCCTTCTCCAATACATGAAAGTGAAAAGTGAAAGTGAAGTCGCTCAGTTGTGTCCAACTCTTCGCGACCCCATGGACTGCAGCCCACCAGGCTTCTCCGTCCATGAGATTTTCCAGGCAAGAGCACTGGAGTGGGTTGCCATTGCCTTCTCCAAATAAGTGATGCCAACATATGTTAAAAAGAAAGAAAAGAGTGGAGAGCCGAGAATGGGAGAAGAGCAGGCTGTCTCAGCAGCACCTCTGCCTGCCCGTCTCTTCTCCTTACCGCGCTCTGGCGGCCTGCCCACCCCACCACTTGCAGGGCACCCAGAACACCTTTCCACCATGGCCACGTCGGCCATCTCCCTCTTGGACAAAGCATCAGGCAGATGTACATGGCCCTACCTCAGGGTGAGAAAGTCCAAGCTATGTACATCTGAAGGTACTGCAGAAGGACTGTGCTGCAAGACCCGAACCTTGGATTCTGAGCCCAAGTGCATAGAAGAGTTGCCCCAGTGAAATTTGGATGGCTGTAGGACTTTTCGGTCTGAAGGCTCCAACAGTGACATGTATCTTGTCCCTGCTGCCATGTTTCAGGACCCTTTCTGCAAGGGCCCCAGCAAGCTGGTGTTCTGTGAAGTCTTCAAGTGCAACCCAGAGCCTGCAGAGACCAATTTAAGACACCCCTGTAAACGGATAACGGACATGGTGAGCAACCGGCACCCCTGGTTTGGGACGAAGCAGGAATATACCCGCAGGGGCACAGAGGACACCTCTTTGGTTTGCCTGCCAATGGCTTTCACGGACACCAAGGCCGTGCCTGTGCAGTGGGGATTCCAGGTAGGGAGGGCCCTGTGCAGGAGTCGACGTGGGAGATCGTCTCTGGGCGGCCTCTTCGTCTTGCACGGTGTGTGGTCTTCTAAACGAACTGGCCACAAGCCCTTCCAGTACCAGTACCAGGTGCACGACTTGCAGCCTCAAAACCCCTCCTAATGCTACATTTTGCTCCCAATCTCGCCCCTCTGTGTCATCATAGCTATTACTCAAAGGGGGGAATATCAAGGTCTTTTTTTTTTTTAATTCCTCACACCCAGTTAATATCTCTTGTTTCCTGTGGTCAGGATTGAGGGGGTCAAGTTCTTAATAACTTCACAACCACCTACCTACCCCCGCCCTTTTCTTTTTCCCAGTCACTGAAGCTTTCTAGTGCGTTAGTTGTGGGGGAGGGAACATAACCACTGCTTCCATTTAATCGGGTGTGTTTGTCCAATAGGCATAGCTCTCTGGACAGACAGCCCAGTCATTGAGAAGAGATGGGGAGGACTTTTCTGAGCGGTCGTTGAGTTGGGGGCGGGTACTGGATTCTGTGGTTAGGTTAGGATTTCCCTGCTTGGTGGGAAGTCCCATTGATTACAAGTTTGTAACCAACTTCCTATTAAAAGTGAGCATTAGGAGAGAAGAAAGGGTGGGAAGTCAGGTAGGAAAACGGCCTGGATCTCCTGGTGTGGTGCTTCCCTTCCCTGGGACTCAGTGCCCTGACAGAATCAGCATACATGGTTGGATAGCCCTACTGTAAAAGAAAAGACCATTGTTTGGTCCTCCATTTATAACACAAAGCAGAGTAGTATTTTTATACTTAAATATAAAAACAAAACATTTATATACATGGGTGTGCAGATAAATGTGCGTTTTCTCTTTAGGGAGAAAAAGCCATTATGGTTATGGGGAACCCAAATTTGAGACAAGTAGTCTGCTTAGAAATTAAGGATCTCCTTTTGAGTCGGGTTGGGGATGGGGGAGGCCACGCTGGAAAAGTTGGCAGTTTGGGGCTGTTATCACCTCACTACCACTTCAGGGCTTCTCTCTGCCCTGCTTTCCCTTCTAGGGAAGCTGACATTGGTTGATTAATAGATGGAAGCCCAAGATAGCAGTAGCCATCCACTGAGCCCCGGGTTTAAAAGACACACATGTACTTGCACACGTAGGGTTTGGAAATATGAGTTGGCTGGTCAACTTGAGTATGTGACTGACAAGGGGGTATTGGGGTTATTTTCTAGTGGGGCTATCATGTCACTAAAGCAGGCCTTTTGATATATTAAAAAAAAATAAAGCAAAACAGAAGTTAAATTTTAATCATATTTGTAGGGTTTCTAAGTCTTTGTTTTACAGGATTTCTTGTTTGCCTCAGCTGTCTCCTCCCCATCTCTGCTCTGGAGGAGATGGGACAAGTCTGGAGTTCAAACAGTTGTAATTTTGTATGTTAGTGTCTGTTCTCTGAGTGTGAAATATTCCCTTCTTTTGTTAAGATTCCTGAGGAGTTATTATTTTTTGTTCTTTTATAATAACAATAAACCCCACCTTTATCCTTATCAAAAAAAAAAAAAAAAGGGAAAAAATGAATGAATAAAAAAGTGAGTGGTCACTTAGAAAAGTATGCAAATGAGATTTTAAAAAGCCAAACTGATCAGCCTCTGCCCTCAGTGAAAGAAGAAGAGCTCTGGAAAGCTTTGGAGAGCTATGGACCTAATCAGAGGGGTGCTTTTCAGCTTTCTGGAGATGTGGATGAACTAACCTGATTCCATAATACAAAGAAAAGTCTGATTGCTAATTTCCAGAACTTTCTTGGAACATTCAGTCAAGTCCATCACTAAACATATCTCCAAGTATAGATTGATACATTTGATTAACTGCATTGTATATAAACCTTCTATAATTTTGACTAGTCCATTGACTTTGTAAGAAATTAATCATCTCTGGTTGTGCTGATAAAACTTTGTGTCTGGAATCCAAGTCTGAGACACACTGTCCTTTAAGTGTTCAGGGACCTCCTGGAAGAAGAATTTGTATCTTTTCCTTGAGCACTAACTGGAGAAGGAAATGGCAACCCACTCTAGTATTCTTGCTTGGAAAATTCCATGGACAGAGGAGCCTGGTGGGATACAGTCTGTGGGGTAGCAAAGATTTGGACACAACTTAGTGACAGAGCATGCTCTTGAGCACTAATAACAGCTATACCCAAACTGGATGGAATATTTTATTTTGCATTTTGCACTTCTGGGCTTATTAACTAAGTAGATAAATAACTATAATGTTACAGCACACAAAATGCATCAAAATGTATATTCATTATAAAGATTAGGGTTAGATTTATTATTTTTTAAGACCTTAACTCATTTATTTTTTACAGCTTAAACCTTCTGGAGTGCAATAATAACTAAGAAAGAGTTGCCACATTTTCTTTTCTTTAAATATGCCTTAAAATAAAAACTGATGTCAAGTTAATAGATTAGTTTATTTGAAATAGTCTAAGTTTCTAATAGAGCAAGTTAAATTGACTCACATTAAAATTAACAAAGTGTTAAATTTGAAATTAGATGGTTGGCCCCATATGCACATGTATCCTTTGGAAAACTTTAGGACAAGTAAAAATGCACTAAGGAAACTTCAGAGGAGAAGCTGTCTAATTTGCTCAACCATCAGGAACTGCTGCCATGTGTACAAGATGGTTTTCCTTCTTTTATAAGGAATCAACACTTGGAATTACAGAAATTACAGGAATCATTGTCCTGAATAGATTCTTTTTGCTTTCCCCATAAAGGGGCATGCTTTTCTTTTTTAAATGTATTTATTTTTTATTGAAGGATAATTGCTTTACAGAATTTTGCTGTTTTCTGGGCATGCTTTTTAATCTATCCACCTTAAATGGCATTCACAAATTTTCTGGACCATCAAGACAAACTATTAGTCCATCAAGACAAACTATTTAATAGCCCATGGAATTTAATGGTATGTTTCAAAAATACTCTTAAAGAGATACTTTTAACTCCATCCAACAGAAAACCAAGATATACTTTAGCATGAAATGTGGTTCCCTTTCTGATGCACAGAACAACATCTCTTTTAAAAAATATTGTGTAGTTCTAATTCCAGTTTTTTAAGAAATCTCCATGTCAATGTATGACAAAAACCACTATAATATTGTAAGGTAATTAGCCTCCGACTAATAAAAATAAATGGAAAAAAAAAATAAGCAGGGTGACAATAAAAAAAAAAATATTGTGTAAACTAGGAGCTGCATTTCTCTCATAATTAAACCAATTTGCTTTTAAGAATGTCTCCTGACTCACACTCTCACAAAATAAGTGTGTTTGCCCCTGAAGAAACTAAGCTGCTTATAAATGGTTATTTTTTTAAAAGACATTTGCAGATTCAGAAGATGTGTCTTAACATCAAAATCTGGATGAAGATTGTGGCTATTTTCATTTGAGATTGAGTAATTTCATTATTATTTCTAACAAGTTAAAAAAAAAAAAAGACAAGTGTGATTTATTTAAGAAATCAGGTAAGCCACCCGAGCTTTATCCGACTCATGGCCAAGTAGACAGGAAATCACTGGTGCTGACATAATGCCAAAGAAAGGTGGTGGGGGACTGGGATCAAAACAGCATTTTCATTTCCAAATGTCATTCAGAAGTTGATCATTCTGGATATTATGCAAAATTTCCACTAAATATTCTCATATGAAGTTTCCTTCCATATTACTTTAGGATCATTCAAAGAAACTAGATGATGAGTAAACAGTGTGTATCTTTTACAAATCTCACTTTTAACATTTCCACTTACATTTTCAGAATCAATCAGTGTCCCCCACTCCCTGTCCCACTCCAATAAACTTAAGAGATGATTATTTTTATGTTCTAGTAATCATACCACCAAGTCAAAAGACAGATACATATTACAGAGAGTGTTTCCAATTAATATTATGCTGATACATTTCCTCACTTTGTAGAGATATTTCATTCTCAAAAATCCTACAAATAGGCCATGTGTCTATGGCATGGCAATGATTAGAATAAAAGTTACTTTTACTACGTGAGTCAGACACATCTTCTGATGTTTCCTACTAGATCTTCTGCAGACTCTAGACAGATCACAATCTGCTAACTCTTCAGTGACATTTTCAAAATCAGTACAAAGTAAAAAGAGGCTACACATGCCTTTTCTCACTTGAAGGTGATTTGCGCTCATTTCTTTCTGCCTATCAGGCTCTCCTTGACACTAGAATTCTTTTGGGTTTGTTTGGTTAGTTGGCTGGTTTGGGTTCAGTTTCCCTGCCTTCTCTGTCCCACCACCCATTCTTAAGAAAAAAACAAACAGACAGAGATGGAGGTGGGAAAATCTCATTTTCCACAAAGTTAATGAGTCCTGAGACAACAGTTATATTAAGGGAGTAAGAGGATTACAAATTCTGACATTCCGTCTCAAGATTCCATTTAAAGGAATGCAACAGCATTTAAAATATTTTCACCCAATATCCTTCAGCTTGCTCAATCTCCTTAAAAAGCTTTGAAATAAGTTCCCAACATCTTTTCAGCAGTTCCACTTAGAACAGATCCTGCTAGATTTCACAGCAAAATAAAGCCTAAATGTAATAAGTTGAATATTACATTTTTCTAGCCCATGTAAGTTTCAAATATTTTTTAATGAAGAAGAAAAAAATATATAAAAGAGACAACAAGCAAAAGTAATCCAAATGCATCCTTGAGAATGGCTATGGAAATAGCAGACCTTATGAGGCAGTGGAGTGCTGTCCTAATTCATGTCAGTGACACAGATGTCACAGCTTCTGCTTCTCTATCACTCTGTTAAGAAAGTTATTTTCAAACATTCTAGCTTAACGGACAGTGAGTAAAATTAGCAGCCATCAACAGCCCCACTGTCTGAAAATGGATGATACCAGTATCAGAGCCACCCAAGTGCCCTGGGAGCCCTGGGAGCCACCCAAGGGCAAAGTGACTCCACTGGATGCCAGGACAGAAGTGGAACTGTTTATCTTTCAAGCACCAAGTGTCCTCATGGATTCAGTTCCTCCATTCAGGAAGCAGAGGTTACACTTCCTGTGTTCCTACTAGTTACCAGCCCTTCTCTTACAGGGGACCGCCACAAACTGAGAGGGGCAGCCCAGCTGATCCTGAGCCCTGGCCACTCCAGGG